CTCATTCTAATTTCTGTATGTCTGATTGCAGGCTGCTGAGACAAAACGCCACAAGGTTTTTGCTGGATGATATCTACAGAAATCCAGGACCCCTTCAGTTTGATGGTCCTGGTGCTGATGCTAAGGCTGTGACCTTGTGTGTTGAAGACCAGGATTACATGGGCCGCATCAAGAAACTACAGGAATATCTTGACAAGGTGCCTAATTTTCTGTTGCCTTTCAGTTGTGTACAATTGTTCTTTACTCGTATATCACATGTTTCGTTGGTATTTTATCTTCATTCGTGTATGAAGTATATCTTTTTGGCTCTGGATATTGGTTTCTGTTCAATTGCAACTGCTATGGCAGTATCTTTCTCATCCAGTACCACCTTTTGTACACGTTTTTCAGGTCCGTACCATTGTGAAGCCAGGGTGTTCTCAGGAAGTTCTGAAAGCGGCTTTAAGTGTAATGGCATCTGTGACAGAGGTTCTCTCTGTGATGTCTTCATCGTCATCAGGCGGACAGACAACCCTTTGATACAATAACTTAGAAACATACCAGTTATTGTACTCGTGATATCGTATTTCTTAATTATCCTGAACTTATAGGCCTGGGCATTGTGTGATAAACAGAGTTTCCCCATGTTTTCGTTTTTTGGGCGAGATGATAATAGCATGTACTCTTTAACAGTTTTGGAAGATAAAAGTTTTATGGAAGGGATGATGGCATGGTTAATCATGGTTTATTGTGGCAGATTTTTACGTTAAAAGGAGCGTCCTGCGTCTGTCATCGTGTTTGATTAGTATTTGTGCAGAGTCTGAGTGCAGAGAGCAACTACATTAAATTAATTAAGGTTGGATGAGGATTGACTAAATAACTGGAATAAATAAAGGCAGAAACACCAGCTCACAAATAAAGGGGCTGAGGTTAGTGGGGAATTTCGAGTTTAGAGGATATTGGAAATCATTAATTCTAGCCTTAAACTTGGATCTTGTATGTTTGAAGAAGCTAATGCCACGTGCTTACTAAATGATGAGTAAGAACGAGCATAATTGCATGATTGAAACCCAGTGTTCTGTTTCCAGTAAGACATCTGGATACTTAAAACTTCAAGCATTTCAATTCGAATATTTATCTATTTAAATATAGAGGAAAAAACCAAAGAATAAAGTTTATGATTTAGGAAGGAATTGCTTGCTTTGGATAACTTAAAAAATTCAGCAAGTGAGGCAGCATTCCTTAAATTTTCATTTGAGATTAATGGGCATTGATGAAGTAAAATTTCATTCTTAAATTTTAACCAAGAGTTGAGTTCTAATAAACTTTCAGCAAATGTTTGTAATTGTAGTCACCAGGGCCTGTATACAGAGTAATAGCATGCTTTTTTACCGGAGCAAATAGTAAAGTGGAAAGATATCCCGTCCGTGTACTGTGTAGCTTGTAATGGTAACTACAAGATGAAGCCAAGGTAAGCTCTCATCCCTCTTGCACTTGCACTTGCACATGACACTCAAAAGATTTCCCCAACTGAAATGTGAAAACCCTCAAAGCCCCCTCACAAAAAGACTTCCCTATCTTCCTCTGCTCCAACAGAGACTACTCTGCGCGCTCCCGATTCTGTGCAGCGGCAGCAGCAGCAGCAGTATCCGCCCTTTATACCATCATCATCTCTGGTCAGTTAATTCTTTCCCATTAATCCTTCAGCTTTCGACTTTCGAATGCTATGAATGAATATTGAACATTGACACCAAACCCAATGGCCGCAACTCAATTTGCAAACTTATGGTTTTTAATATGATTGTCACTTCAAAGTTCCAAAACCCTCAAAGAGAAAAACAATATATACATGATTATCGAACAGCGTGACCAGAGTCCCAGACCAGTAGTCAGATAATACATTACTTCGATGGATATTCATCCTCCAAATCTTGCAATTGAGTTTGATGACGACACTACTGCCCTTGACTTGGAACACCCATTACCTTTTGATCATTACGATCCCGCCTTGGCCCAACCTCTTTCCACCCTGGGGGATCCCAATCTCGAGCCATATGAGGGTATGGAATTTGATTCTGAACAGGCTGCGCGCATTTTCTACAATTCGTATGCTCGCCGCATTGGTTTTAGCACTCGGGTTAGTGTTTACCAGCGCTCACGTCGTGATGGCTCCATCATATGCCGCCAAATTGTCTGCTCCCGGGAGGGTTTTCGTAGAGATGCTGGTCAGAATAGCTCCAAGCGCCAGCGTACCATCACTAGAGTTGGTTGTAAGGCACAAATCACTGTCAAGAAGCAGACTTCTGGAAAGTGGGCTGTCTCTAAACTTGTTAAAGAACATAACCATGAGCTTGTGCCACCAGATAAGGTGCATTGCCTACGTTCTCACAGGCATGTCTCTGGCCCTGCTCGCAGCCTCATTGATACACTTCAAGCTGCTGGGATGGGCCCAAGTGGAGTGATGTCTGTGTTGATTAAGGAATCTGGTGGAGTTAATAACGTTGGTTTTACTAAAGTTGATTGCCAGAATTATATGAGTAGTAGTCGGCAGAGAACACTTGGGAGTGGGGGTCAGGTTGTTTTTGACTACTTGAAGCAAATGCAAACTGAGGATCCTGCTTTCTTTTATGCTGTCCAAGGTGATTTTGGTAACTCCACAGGAAACATCTTCTGGGCTGATGCTCATTCTAGAATGAATTATAATCACTTTGGGGACACTGTTACATTTGATACAACTTATAGAACAAACCGATATCGTGTTCCTTTTGCCCCTTTTACTGGGTGGAATCATCATGGACAACCTGTGTTGTTTGGATGTGCTTTGCTTCTCAATGAGTCAGAGTCCTCTTTTGTTTGGTTATTCCAGACTTGGCTAGCTGCAATGTCAGGCCACCATCCTATTTCAATCACGACAGACCAGGATAGGATAATACGAGCAGCTGTTGCACAGGTTTTCCCAGGGACCCGCCACCGATTTTGTAAATGGAATGTGTTTAGGGAAGCTCAGGAGAAGCTTTCTGATGTATATCACTCACACCCCACTTTTGAAGCAGAGTTTCAAAGATGCATCAATGTAACAGAGACAGTGGATGAGTTTGAGTCATGTTGGGAGTCCCTTCTTCTACGATACAGTCTTGGAGATAATGAATGGCTTCAGTCAATGTACAACACTCGACAGCATTGGGTACCAGTTTATCTTCGGGACACATTCTTTGGGGAGATGTCCATAAATCAAGGAAGTGATAGTATAAACTCATATTTTGATGGTTATATAAATGCGTCAACTAATGCCCAGGTTCTGATTAAGCAATATGAAAAAGCAGTTGCAAGTCGATATGAAAAGGAAGTAAAGGCAGATTATGATACGTTAAATATAGCACCAGCTTTAAAAACTCCATCTCCTATGGAAAAACAAGCAGCCAACCTTTACACAAGGAAGATATTTATGAAATTCCAGGACGAATTAGTTGAGACTCTTGCTTATCCTGCAACTGCAATTGATGACTCAGGATTAGAAGTAATGTATCGGGTGGCGAAATTTGGAGAAGACCATCAAGCACATTTTGTGAAGTTTAATGTTTTCGGAAAGAAAGCTAGTTGCAGCTGCCAAATGTTTGAATTTTCAGGCATTATTTGCAAGCATGTATTAGCAGTTTTCAGGGTAACAAATGTTCTGTCATTGCCATCTCATTATATCTTAAAACGGTGGACAAGAAATGCGAAAAGTGGGGTTGCAGTGGATGGTTGCACTGTTGAATTGCCAAGTAATACTCAGGAGTCCTATGCTGCTCGTTACGACAATCTATGCCATGAAGCTATTAAATTTGTGAGAGAGGGGACAGGATCAATACATACTTTTAATGTCGCAATGGATGCGCTTCATGAGGCTGCAAAGAAGGTTGCTTCTGCAAAGAAGAATGATTCTGCTGTCATAAAAAATTCTCCTTTTAATTCTGGCCAGCAGCTTCAGTCTGGCTTTGAGGTAAAGTTCCTTTATTCATGATATAGTCTCTTTAATCATTGACTTCTGTATTGTATCCTTGATCTTCACTTTTTGCTCTTCATACTTTAGGTCATATCTACAATATCTGTCTAAACATTGAATCAAGGCATTGTCGACGGGTTTAAGATTTGCTGAATTGCTTTTAAATAACCATCAGTAGTAGCTCTAGTTTTGTTATGAAACTATATACCAATCAATCTCCATAATGAAAACCCTTTACATCTCTGAGGACTCATATTCTTGTTCCTCTGCCTTGGTGCAGAACCAGGAGAAGAAAATCCAGGAACTAAGTGTGGAGTTGGAAGACGCAAGTCGACGGTGTGAAAGCTATCGAGCAAAACTGGCAGCTGTTTTGAAAGATATGGAAGAACAGAAGCTAAAGATGTCAGTGAAGGTTCAGAATGTGAGGCTCATTCTAAAAGACTAAACAAATAAAACATGAGGGTTGATGGTGCAGGCCTTGCCCGGGGTTCATGTAAATTACCTAACTAACTAACTAGTGAAAACTAAGAAGGTGGGGTTAGATTAGGAGAGGTCACCCAATTGGCGAGTGCATTCCTTTATCAACCTTTGCTGACTCCGCAACCGCAACACGGTTGCTTGCAATGTACAGAAAATGCAGACTTTCTTCTACTTTAGATTTTTAGCTGTGGAAAGGTTGATTAGTTCCAGTTTAGTACAGATAGAGCCTTGTATTTATTTCTTTCTTGCTTTCTTTTTTAATATAGGAAACCATGATTATGGCAGCCCCCAGACTCAAGTTGAAGCCAAGCAGCTGATGACTTACGAGATTTGATAGAAAATGTGCTACCAAAAATGAATTGAAAAAGGGCCTAGGCCTGCTAAGAAAATTGGGCTGGGCTAGCGAACAGAAAAGATCAGACCGTTGGGTCTCTGTAAAAGGAAAAAGTCCGTTGGGGGTATTTATTTATTTCTACGCAAAAGGGTAGGAAGGGGGCAAATATGGAAGTGGGGGCCGGGGGCGATGGATCGGGGAATTTGAAATTCAAAAAGAAAAGTTTCCGTTGGACAACGAGTGTTTTCGGGTTTCTAAAGGCAAAAGAAACGGTTATATATGAATATAGCGAATGGGTTTAGACATGTAATCGAAGAAAGAGGGTTTGGGGATTGCGATTGTGATTTGTGAGAGAAAAAGCAAGAAATGGAGAGGCAAAGCCAAACGGCGGCGGTATCATCGTCAGCAATGGAGGCGTTCGAGAAGTTGGAGAAGGTCGGGGAAGGAACGTACGGAAAGGTGTACAGAGCAAGAGAGAGAGCGACTGGGAAGATTGTTGCCCTCAAGAAGACTCGTCTTCACGAGGACGACGAAGGCGTTCCTCCCACCACTCTCCGTGAGGTCTCCATCTTGCGCATGCTCTCCAGAGATCCCCATGTTGTCAGGTCTTTCATTCTTTGGATTTCTTTGCTTTGCTTCCTACGCTTTTCTTCTGATAAAGCATCTTTCTTGTTTCTTCCAACTCTAACAACATGATGACCAATATAATTGTATGTGTTCAGGTTGATGGATGTGAAACAAGGGCAGAACAAAGAGGGAAAGACGGTTCTTTACTTGGTCTTTGAGTACATGGACACTGATCTCAAGAAATACATCCGCTCCTTTCGCCAATCTGGAGACAACATTCCCGTTAACACTGTCAAGGTCTCCCCTATTTCTGTCTCTCTCTTCATTCTTTTCTTTTCTCTTCTTTCTTTCTTTGTTCTTGATTGGGTTGGGGATGCATCTATGTTAACAGAGCTTGATGTACCAACTTTGCAAAGGTGTTGCCTTCTGCCACGGCCATGGCGTTTTACACAGGTTAACCCTCCCTTCCCTTTTTCTCATTTTACTTTTCTTTTAGATCAATTACTGAATGATGTTAAATACGCTTATTTCTTTTCTCTATTTTAACTGTTGCCTTCCATTAACTCAGGGACCTTAAGCCTCACAATCTCCTCATGGATAGAAAGACCATGACGCTTAAAATAGCTGATCTTGGCCTTGCCCGGGCTTTTACTCTTCCCATCAAGAAGTACACTCACGAGGTTACTCACATGCCCTTGTTTTCCGCGTCACCTCTTCACTCACTCCTGCCTCTTTCACTAATTGAATTAAATGTAAATTTTCAGATATTGACCCTATGGTACAGAGCACCTGAAGTCCTTTTGGGGGCTACTCATTACTCAACCGCTGTGGATATGTGGTCTGTCGCCTGTATATTTGGTACTTGCCTACTACTTCTTCCATATTCATACTTGCTTTCTTCTTGATCTCATTCTGCTAAATAACTTCTTTATTCCTTTCTCCGTTCTCTTTTTTCTCTTTTAGCCGAGCTGGTCACCAAACAAGCCCTGTTCCCTGGAGATTCTGAGCTGCAGCAGCTCCTTCATATTTTCAGGTCCATTATGCCTCTACATCCCCTGTCTTGCTATTCCATTCAAACCTTTTCTATCTTCTGATATCTTCTTCATGGATGCAGGTTGTTGGGTACTCCAAATGAACAAGTGTGGCCAGGAGTCAGCTTGCTGCCAAACTGGCATGATTACCCCCAGTGGAGCCCTCAGGGGCTGTCATCAGCTGTTCCTAATTTGGATGATGATGGGCTTCATCTCTTATCGGTAGCCTTTTGACTCTTTACCGCCTTATTTTCATAACAACTATCAAAAACCATCCTCTTCACAACATCTGATAGCTGATAGTTGAAATGTTCTGTTGGTGCTTGCAGCAAATGTTGCAATATGATCCCTCAAAGCGCATTTCTGCCAAGAAAGCCATGGAACACCCTTACTTTGCCGATCTCGACAAAGCCCATCTTTGAGCAGCACAGAGGTGGTCGTTGCCCAATTAGATCCGCTTGCAGGAGTTCATTAGTAGAAACAAACCCATCTGCTTCTCTCAAGCATACTAGTTCCATCTTTTCTGAATATTTGTGACTTGTTGCTTTCTGAAATGACTTTATCCCTCAAATTCTCCTTTTGCTGAAATTTGCCTTTTGTTAATGTCTAATGAAGAATTGAAGTGTTGAATATATCACATATGAATCTTGGTCAATGAACAATTTAACTGTGGAATTTGTTTACATTGTTTCAACCATGGTGTTGACATGAAACTAGGCTAAGTGTGAAGAGAGTTTTGAGGCCAGCGCCGAATTTCCAAAGCATCAGTTGTATTTTTTTGGAAAAGAGACATTTATTGTCCTGAGTTTGGAATCTGTTCTTAGCCTACCAAAAAAAAAAAAGAAAAAGAAAAGGGTTAGCAGCACCTACGGCATCCTTTGCTGGTATATTTCCCCGCAAGCAACGAAATATTTCTCGAGAAATATTTGTTTTAGCAGAATTCAGGCCACCAACCACATGAAAAATGTGGACCATAAGGTAAGCGAAATTGAGGCTAAGGCATAAGTCCAGAGCATGATGACAGAGCATTCACTCTCACCTGCTCCAAATAATTGAGTGATTGTACCTGTGAAAGAATTAAAAAAATAATAAACAAACAATTATTTGGATCACTAGTTTCTGGCGGAACAAGAGTTAAGAAAGAGATCCTCGAGGAGAACAAATTGAACAAATTATGATACCTATGTTCATTGCAGGTGGAACAGCAAACTGAAGAAGGAGAACAAATTGATATAGTGCATCAGCTTGTACAAAACCAAAACGAGAAGCTCCTTTAACAATGACAATACCAATGAGAGGCAGAGCAATATAACGAGCAACAATGATGCCAAAAATGATAGACTTGCGAATTCCAGACCCTCTCAGTCCTGCAAAGCGGCCATCCATTGCCAATCACCAGCATGAAAGGAGATTCAACATATATGCAGCTTAACCATGTTATTAATGCCTTGAAAGAAAAAAAAAAACAAAAAACCTTTACCAGCTAGTAGTACCTTTGAGAAGGTTACCTCCGACAATTAGGGTGAGAGCTGGGATGGCCCCATCACTGGATTCAGAAACATAAACTCATAAGCTAATTAGCATTGAAACAAAATGAGCAGAAGTTTGAGATGTGACACGGCATAAATATGGTCTGATGAATTCTTGTGAAGTTGAGCCAATAGTAGGGTAAATATTTGCCCCAAGATTGAAAAATATGAAAATGGCTGGTTATAATATAACAAGACAGGAGATGCAAAATGTCACGGTCAAATTTATGTCACTTGTAAACTTCATCATTTACAGAATCATGGTGTTTGATGAGTTATCCATTAGTGATGAAGCTGTGTGGCTAGAGAACAGCCAAGATTCCATTAACCAAAATTTAGAAGCGGATGTACTTCGATTGTAAATGAAATTGTAGTCCTCATGAGCAGAGAATAAAAGATGTTTGATGATGAGTCTTCAAAATCCTGGTAATTTTGTAAACAGTGATAGTTGCTATACCCCACTAAAGAAGCAGAGTCTTGAATCACACGAAGAGGAGCACCATCACCTATCATTGATTTTCTAATCTGAGGGACGAGTCCAATTACAAATCCAACAATCTATACAAGAGAAGAGCGCACAGTTCAGTCAATGACTCAAAATATATAAACAGGACAAGAAGGCAGCATGAATTTTGTATTACACGTAGAGAAACTTAATTCATACTTCAATTATATGCTATTCATCCATATATTATGAATGTATATCCATTCAGACCCTGTATTGATCTCCACAGTGAATTGTAGATCTTGTGCTTCAGAGCCATGAAAAAGCATCCTTCCATAAAGGATACTTTGCATAGAGTTTTTTCCATTGGTCTTAGCTTGTTAGACTCTTTATGATAGATCCATTAAAAGAATATCCATCTGACTATAATCTTAGCTAAATTTAGCACCAACAATAATGCAAAACACAATATGGCTGAGAGAACAACATTCTCCTCTTTGCTTGCAGTAAGTGAAAATGGTAAATGAAGAACATAAAAGGAAGTAAGATCATACCGCTCCAGTTGTTGAAGGGGCAAATACTGATCTCATATTAATCTTCGCAATCATCATATTTAATTGTTGCTTTATCGTACTTGAAAATCTTGCCTGCCACAAGATGTCAGAAAATCAAAAATCAAATCTCAATCAAAGCTTCCATTAAAATGCTTCAACATGCATACTTGATTTCAATCTCAAAGAGCAATGAAAAACTTGGTAGACTACTAAACTGCAATGGTTATGAAATGTAATGGAGTTGAATAAACAAACACTATATCTCAGATACAGAACTACTAGCAATAGGATAACATGAAAGATGCCATAGTTAATGTTACAATCATGAAGATAATTTTTCTCCTTGTGAGGATGCCAAGGTAAATAAAAAGACAGCCATTACAATTTGCTTGCAATAATATAGTTAAATAGGAGAATAGCTCAAATCCTAGTGTAAAAGATCCCATCCTTTCTGTTAAATTCAACAAGCAATCGAAAAAAATATAGCTAGGTTCCTCACTTCCTGATTGGTTTTGCCACAGGAACATGTATGTTATTACCATGTAAACCATACTTTGTTGACATTCACAAAAACATGAAATATTCTTAGAGAAACATTGAAAATGTCCAATAGGGAAGATATAAGAAGTCATGGAACTGATAAAGAAAAAAGGAGATTGGTAGTGTCACAAGGTGAAAAACCTCAGCTTCTCCCTTAGAACTTGTGCAAGGCAGGACGTATCCATTCTCATTGTCCTCAGATACCAAGAGATCATTGGAAGAAAGTAGTGGTTCAGTGCAACTCCCCTGATCTGATGTGGATGCTTCCCTAAAATATTTGCTGGTAGAGGAATCATTTATAGTGGATTCGTTGATGCTACTGATTGAATATATTCGGACGATATTGAAGACATAAGACCACAAATAAATGGCTCCAATCTAAGGTTTCAAAACAAAGCAATTTGCAAACATGAATAAGTCCTCATAATCATATAAATAAGTGTACTTCTTCCAATGTAGTTCTAAACAAGGTTTAAAAAAGGGAAATTTTTTCCTTGATGGCATCAAGAGCTCTCAAATCCAGCAGAGTTGAGAAGGAACATACCGCCATTGAAAGTGAAACATAACCCATTCCATATGAATGACATACTTCGGGAGATCCAAATGGGCTTCCTTTTTCTTTGCAAACAGCTGGGATTATAATAAGGAGCATGTTCCCCATATTCCCTGTTGTATGGAGAAAGAAACTTAAAGCAATACTTTTACAGACTGCAGAAAATGAAAAATTGATAAAAGCCGTTCCATTAGAGATTTCAAGAAGAAAAGTCCTAGTCATTTGCATTAGCACAGAAAGGGTTCAAAGGATTCAGACTACGTTTGTTTTAGCTGAAGTAATGCCAGTGACTCCATTTTTTTTTTCTATTGGAGAAAGCTTATTTAAGCTGAGAAAGGCAAATGACTCCACCTTGCACCATAGACTAACCCAAAGTCACTCACAAGAGACCCAACAAAGGGTTGAATTCCGAGGCCTTAATAAGCTTTTCGACAGCCAGTCATGAGTCCTCCGGTACAGCTTTCACTAGCACCAACAAGGACAGAATGTGAGCTTCTTAAAATCAGAAGCTTGAAGTTTCTTAAGCCTAACTATATTCTTCTTGCTTTAGATTGCCCATTTTCCTCTTGAAGAGATAGCTGAGATAAATACTCTGGGGCAGATAACAGAGATCTTTTGACATCACCACAAATAGGCAAAATGCATGTGCTTGAAGCATCGTGTATGAATATGATGCTCAGAGTTCGATAAGACATGCCACGACAGAAAAATAAAATCATTAGCCACTGAAAACATAGAACTGATCACATCTTTAATATTATCAGTTTATGGAGGAAGCAAAACTTTCAAAGCGATCTCACACTCTAAATTTAATATGCTAATTATCATTGTTAGCAACCTCTTTCCCCTAGCTTGAAGTTTGATCAAGCGGATGATTTCCTTAAGAGATCCCTTGGCTCAACCACACGTAAATAGTACCATATATCAGCCGACCTCTTAGGAGTTAGGAATCCTTGACATTTGTTCAGTTCAATTAAATGGTGTAACAAGTTAGGTTGAATCATCCTTGAGAGAGGCAACAACCATCTTAATTACAGTGATTATTATCATCTTTCATATTTGATGTTCAATCAATTAAATGGAATGAATACCTGCGGCACAACAACCCAAGATTAAACCCTGCAAATGTGACGGAGGTCTTGTAAATTGGATGACTATCCATCCAAGTATTGAACCAATAACAAATGTGAGCAGGACATTGAATGGCATGAACCACCTAGACATATATTAGACAAAAAGATTTCTACTTCAGAACATTGAAAGAGAAGTTTGTAATTTGTATCAATGTAAAATACAGAGAAAGAGTTTCACTCACAGCTTGACCATGCTTTCATACGTAATTGTTTCTGCAAGGTTGCTGGATACAAGAGCTGGATTGAATACGTAAAACACTACCTGTAATCTCAAAAGAATAATAACATTGTTCTAAGTGAACTGACTATTCAGTGTATTTGCATAATTTGAATCGATGGAGCATTAAAAAGCAAAGCAACAGAAAAGAATCAGAATTTCTTTCACATGAACAAATATTGAATAAGCTTGTTGGCCAAAATACTAAAAAAGGAAAACCAAAAAGGTTTGTTGTTGCTACGCCTCACTCAACTATGTCGTATGGAACATGGTACGGAACAAATATTTAATGGCAAGAAGTGAAGCGTGTACAAGAGCTAGGATTAAGCACTTACATTGTTCATATGCTTCCTGGTGTCTTCCCCCAAGATATTGACGTGATCTAGAGCAAGATATAACCCAAGTGCAGTTATCAAAAGCACTTTCAGGACCGGTATTGTAGCAGCAATAAAAAGATCTAGCAGTACCATATTCTCATCAGAATCTTCTATAAACCTGGAAATCAACTCGCCTTAACTCAGCTCCTGTTCATACATTCAATATACAAGTGAAAACCGAGGAGTGGACGTCCAACTCCAACAACCGCTACATGAAATCCAATTGTAAAAATGGAACGTTGATTCCTTAAGGTGCAAAATGTGCCTTAATTTGTTCTTGAAGCCGAACCATCAACCCCCCACAAAATCTTAAATATAGATATTGATTTAATGATAGAATTAATTTCATAAGATCATTAATGTCTACGTACGACGACCAAGGGTGATTTCGACAGACCAAAGCAGAAAGCAGCTTTGGTTAATGAACCTAGTCTTGTATTTAGGAACTTATATCAAACCAAAAGAAAACTCGTGTTGGCAACAAAACATGGAGAGCCCTTCACTCTCCCAAAATCAAATCGAAAACTTTACGCAAAAAAAAAGAAGGGAAATGTCGATACATATGTATATGTATATATCATCGATTCATAATCATCATCAGCAGCAGCAGCCAGAAAAGAAAAGAAAAATGAATTACACTTACCAGCGCGCACCTAAAACCGACGCAAGCATTGGGGACTACAAGGAAGAAGTAAATTAATAAAAACATATGAACATGCGGCGGGTTTTGCTCGTTTTCTTGTGCAATTGATTTCCGTAAGAATTACTTGATTAGTCGTGACATGCAAATTTGAGATCCCACGTGCAGAAGTGGACCGCAAATCATATTGCAATCTGTTGGTGGGCATCCGCTGCTTGGGTTGCTTTCATGATCATTCATTACTCGGGTGAAAACGATGGATCCAATTAACACCACGTTTCCCACTTTGCTAAATTCAACAGTTTTATGATCTGTGCGTGAAAGAAGAAGAGTTTGTACTTATCTGTAGTATCACCAGGTCCGGGGAGATGAACAAGTGGCATACGCATAAAATATTTATAGCTTGCAGATGTACAACACGTCATGCCAGTTCTAATTAATACCAAGCAGCTAAGCGCTTACCCCAAGTACTTGTCAGTTGGCACGCCTCAGCAAGGACCTAGGCAGGGTATTTTTAAAAATTTTAGATCGAGCAAGTCTTTAGTAATTATAAGTGGTGACACTCATACCTTATTAGGTTAATATTTTGAGACGAGATAAATAATTTTGTGATAAAATAATATTTAAATAAATTTAATTTTGATTCAATTTTACATCAAACACTTTTAAAAGAAGATAAACAGGATGATCAAAAACAATGAATGTGTTATCAGATCGAATGAGTAAGAATGTTAAGCTTAACATTTCAAGAAGGAAATAAACAAAGTGTTTTCAAAAATCTCACATTGAATAAGTAAGAAAATTTTAAATGATTTATAAACAATGATGTTATATATTTTATCGAATTAATTTTTTAGGTTAAGGAAGGGATAATGGTCCCCTGTCATACTACTCTATTTATTTTTACGAATCCCTTTAACTTGACACCATCCTTGTCTAGATCTTTTACTACTACAATCATATATCACCATAACCTTATGCATACATGCCGTCATCCCTTCCAGCTCCCAGCTAGCCTTCCCTCTTCCCAATCTGATTTTCTCCTCCTTTTCCATCCCTTGTGTTTTAGCACTCAATTTTGATTAATTATTATGTATTATATACTGACACTGGCATGGACATGGATAAAGCCATCGCCGTTGTATTCCTCAACTCAATTTTCATTTACTAGTTTATTGAGTTTGATTATGTACATATGCTGTATGGTCGATTTTTGTTGTTGGATTTTGGTCATGAAGAATTATTTGCCAAGCAATGCAAAGAGGCCTGACCCCATGGGAGGGATGTAAAAAAATTGGGCTGAGTTGGGCTTGGAGAAGAGAAGAGAAGGGATAGATTGGGGCTGAAATGGGCTTTCAGAAGATAATAGACATGGGTGAATGTAGAAGGAAGAAGATGGCCGGGGCCTGGGGAGATGGGTAAAGCAGCGGAGAAATTGGCGTGAGCCAGGTTGAGTCGAAGGGGCGAGAGTGTGTTGTTTTGAACTGGGAAAAAACCAACAGACCGCCGGGGGTTTGCTAGCTTTGGATTTTGTTGCTTTTTGGTAGATATTAGTAGTATTAATTCAGAAAAAATAAAAAAATAAAAAAAAGGTGAGAGTCACACACAAACAGAGACCGGCCACCGTCGTCAAAAGAGGAAAGAGAATCCAGAATTGGAAGATTAGTTGGCAGGCAGAAAAAATCCCATTCCCAGTCCCAGGTGTAAGTGTAACCGCCATCCCTGCCCTGCCATGAACGATACTTTCTATGTTAGTCGGGTAAGAAGAGGCTGCTCTGTATCTGTATTTATTGTTTTCCATTCCCCGCATTGTCTCTTTATAACTCAAAGCCCTAACGCTTGCTCTACTCCTCTCCTCCGCTTCTCCGCTGCATATCTCTCGTCTCCCCTGCAGGCAAGTTTGTCTCTCGCTTATTTCCACAACCAACACCTGCTTAACTGGAATGTAATATAATTAGGGCACACTAATTCTGCTATTGTTTTTTGTTTTAACGCATTTTTCAAACCTATAGTTCTTTAATTACATATTTTTCATTTTAATGTCTTCTTTTGCTTCATAAATTACTTAAAAATGTCCTCTTTGGCTCTTTTGCGTTTGGACAATGAGGAAACAGAACAGAGGAAAGGAGTAGAACAAAATTGCTCAATAATGATTTATTTTTCATGTCTTTTGAATTATTTGCTTTTTTTTTTTTTTGCTTCTGGCAAACCAACTGGAAGTTAGGGTTTGGTTTCTCACCATGGCATGTGCAATGTTTTAGTACCTATTCTCAAGAAGAAAAAAAACTTGGATTTGACAACTGAGCTTTTGGCACATCACCTACAGTTCCTGTCTTTTGCAATATTTAACCAATCTTCTTAAAAAATGCTTTAATGCAATATTTGTTATAGACTGCAGAATCTGTATGAGCAAGATGGAAGATACCGAAATGTTGGAACAACAATTACCAGAGGCATCCAAAGTCAACCTTGATGATTCTGGCGTCCAACAGCAACAGTCCTCGCTCGCCACTGAGGATCAAGATACCACCGAAACTAGGCATTCACCTCATTCTGGGACAGCTGATGACAAGGCTATAACCTTACCCACTGATGTTAATATGAGTGATGATCCAGCTTTGCCCGATAAACCTGATAAAAAAACTTCCAATGATGCTAATACAAATGCTCGCGATGCTGCTCCTGTTGATCCACTAGAGAAGAAAAGCAGTGGCGATGCTGCTCCCCTTTCTTGTGCAGAATTTCTTACGCCTAAATCTGAACATGGAAGTGTGAAAAGATCAAAGAACTGGTTGCTGGATCCTGAGGTACTGAAAAAAGTGTCCAAATTGTGGTGTAAGCATAAAAGTGTCAAGTATTCTCTTTATTCATTGTTGTAACTCAATGTTTGGTGTTTGGGATATAGATGGGGGAGGCTGATGAAGCTGGAACGCAGGAGGAGCGCAGCGCATTCATGAGGAGCTGGAAAGTTTCTACAAGGACAGTTCTTTGGAATTCAAGCCCCCTAAGTTTTATGGAGAGCCACTAAATTGCCTTAAGTAAGCTTATGGTGATCATTGATTTGGATCTTCAGATTATGAGTCTGCTTTCTTTCACTGTCTAACTTGTGCTTCTCTTTGGTTTTTTTGTGCTGCGCATCGGATGTAGGTTGTGGAGAGCTGTTATTAGATTGGGTGGCTATGAAGTGGTATGCATGTATATTATGGAATCCTTCATTGATGTTTTTAGTTTTTTCTTTAACCCTTAAATCGCCCTTTGCTATTCGTAGTTACTACGTTTTTCATGTAACAGGCATTAACTAGTCAGAGGTGACATGCAATCTGATTTTATTAGTGTGGATAACAATGCATTCATTTTTCTGTTTTGGAGGTTGAACCTTCTTGTAATAATTTATTGTCCTAGCTAACAGTTTTTGCATATGATAGGCCTCAACTAGTAAAAGACTATAAATGATCTGATTTATTAACACGTAAAAGTGGGTTGAATCTGTTTCCGGTTTAGGAAGGTGATAAGATTAAATTCTAGAGGGCTTGTTTTATTAATTAAGACGTACTAATACCTAAGGCGGCTCTCTCTCTCTCTCTCTCTCTCTCTCTCTCTCTCTACGTATTGAACTCTCCAAAATTGGAAGTTTGGATAAACATGACAATGACATATGCGTTATACTATATCTAGAGTTGCCATTATGCCGTCAAATAATTGCTTCTATTTTGGGTACAAAATTGATGAGCTCACTTTTTTGTCCTATATGTATGAATACATTCTTTAGGAACCGATTTCGATGCTTTCCAAATAGGATTCCATATAAAACTTTGACGTAAGGTGCCCTTTCTTCTATGCTTACCATATCCGCCCCACCCCGCCCCCTTCCCTGCATCATATGTTGGGCATTTTTTAATAATTATTACTGAATTAGGGAGGAAATAAGAATTGAATTATGGATAAAGTTAAACTAGGTGATACTACCGAAACATATAATCTTACTCTTTATCATATGAGGTATTCTTTTATGTCTACACAATATGTCAGTAGTCATGGTTTGGCATGTATGACATGAATCCAAAGGAATGAAGAGGACTAGGGAATATTAAGTGACTCTCTCTCTTTCTCTTTTATTTTATTTGGTGAAGCCAAGTCTGAGGATTTTGGTTTTTTTCTTATTGTAGTTGTTAATGAGAGAAGGTGGAGGAAAAAGGAGTTAGTTATTGGGAAAAATGTTATATATATGCTTTTTATTGCCATATCCTCATTTTTCAAAAGTTACCATTTTTCCGTATCCCTATTGTGATTTATGAGCTTTATGTTAAAACTGTTGTGTGATACGAGTTTTTCAAATCTTCTCTCTAAACCCTGCTTTAATGAGGCATAATCACACCTTTCTTTTTAGTGCTTTTGTCTTGGGGTTTTACTGTGTTTTGGCGTGTCTTATTTCTAATGTACTGATTTTAATGTTTTAAAACAAATTAGAGCAAGGGAACTCCTTTAATTATGATTCTCTATAAAGTAGTTCTGTGATTCATGAGCAAACATTTATTGATGCACGCAGATAATTGACTTTAAGAGAGGTATTAACTCTTCATGTGTGTGTGTGTGTGCCAGACTTGCACATTTGAGGGGTGGATAATTTTTGCTTTTGGGGGGTGGGGACACTTATCATAGCTCTAGATTGTTCCGAATTGGATCAAGGAGTAAATGATCTGCAACCATTTCTAGAAAAGTCTTGAGGCGTTTTATCAACTAAAACGGGTCATATCCAGTGTTGATCTTTTACCTTGTGTCTTAAATGGGTTGGCACATAAGCATGATTCTTTAAGAAGTCAGTAACAGAAGGTAATTTCACTCGCATATAGATACATTAAATTTTCTTGGTCATGAGTCAAATATTTATCTTTCCTTTGGATGATTGCTTGTCCCAAAACCATGTCCTCCTTCCTTTCTTGTAACATCTAAACCTTTACCTTTTCTATTTTCCATGTTAATCTTTCATATAGCTTAAATCTCTTAAGATATTGAACAATATCATTAAAGAGTTATAATCTTATGATGTAGAAAACAGTAAAGTGATAACCTTTTTCTTTATCTATATTCCAAAGTCAAACATTGATATTCAGTTTGAGATTTAAGGAGTGATTTATATATAATATATACTCCTATCCTCACAATCTGATGATAAACCAAATCCAAATTTACTCTTCGAAATCTTTGTTTCCAAACAAAGCATGAGTTTTCATGTCTTCTAGATTACTTTTTGGACATAAATTATGCATTATTCTGTCTTTTTTTTTTAACAGGATAAACCTGGTTATTATATGTTTTGCTCTAAATTCTAAGCCGTGGCCTATGAGGCATGAATTTATGAATATTTAAAAGTTGAAAGACATGAAGTTGGGTTTGTGTGTTTCTATTGGAATTACAATGTTTGAGCTGATAGTTTTCTTATGTGTTGAATTAGAATTACCTGCTTTTGAATAACGCACTATCGTTGATGTGATGCATTTACACCATCAAAATACATGATAAATTTGTTTTTGCTCTATGGATACCTATAGGTGACCGCATCTAAGTTATGGCGGCAAGTGGGAGAGTCTTTCCACCCCCCAAAGTAAGGAGACATATAGACAGATATTTTTTTTTTTTGGTGCGAAGTTGTGTCTCAATACCTAATGGCTTTGGCTGGCACTTGAACTCAACACAAAGTAACATGCTTTTTATGCAAACTTATTATTCTCTTGATTAACCTTGGTGTCTGTTTCTTCTTTCTTTCTCTCTCAGGACCTGCACAACTGTCTCTTGGACATTCCGCATTTTTTATGAGAAGGTATGCTTGTTTTGCTGGGACAACTAACTAGCTACCTCATTGTTTTGACTATGTGTCAAATGATAAACCTTAAACCTTAACATTCTTCTAGTGCTGAGAATGATTTTCTGGGTTTAGTTTGAGGCATGATCCTTATAAAAGTTACATGTGTACCATGTGCTTTTGATAAGAGTGATCTTGTATCTATGCTGTGCAGAGTGTTGTTCTGCTTGCCCCTGTCCCTGGTACATGTCTTCAAACCATTAAAATGAAACTAACGTAGTTGTTACTTGATATATTGAGTGTCATAGTAAAACAAGTGTTTTTCTAAACAAACTTATCCAAACCAAGCTAAATAAATAAACATGAGGCAAAATGATATCAGTGCCAATATTTTTCCTTATAATCTTATTTTTCTGCTTTCTTGTGTAGCAAGTCTTTTCCTGTAATGCTTATTAATCACCAGCGAATAAATAAAGAAAATGGAAAGTTCATTGAATGGCTCATCTTTTGGTAACTGTACCTGCATGATTTCAGGCGATGTTACTTTTAAGGTTCCTGCAAGAATAATATGGTAACAGTTCCTTGTTGTTTTATGATGGTGCAGGCACTATTAGAATATGAAAAACATAAGAGGGAGAATGGTGAGATTCAACTTCCTGCTTCTTCCCTCCCTCATACAACTGGGGAAAAGGAGGTAGAATTTTGTTTCTTCATATTTTACTTCAGTATGATGATATCTTTTGTTAATTTTAATATTCCATTCAATATGCTAAATTTCATACAAGTAACCCAATGAGCATTTGAATGCTTATACTAATCTTTTGTTTCCTGTCACTATTTGTGATAAAGCTTTCTCTTTCTAATGTTGTCTAGTTTCCTGTGCAGTCAAGTGGCTACCAAGCCTCAGGGTCAGGTAGGGCACGCAGGGATGCTGCAGCTCGTGCCATGCAGGGTTGGCATGCTCAACGTTCTGTTGGATATGGTGAGATTACCGAGCCTATTATTAAGGTCTGTTGAATATCTAAACCTTACTATCATCTGTAATTGTCTTAGTTTCTTTGTGGTATTCCTGTTTTTGTAGCTTTTCTTTTATGCAAAATTTAAAGTGGTACAATAATTATTTTTATTTAAAGAAAGTTCCTCCGTACAGGATAAGAGCTTAAGTTCTACTCCAAAGCAGAAACATCTCAAAACAATTGGTATGCTGTTATGTGGAGAGATCTTTTGCACTACCATGTATCTGTGCTGCCATGTATTCTCATATTATATTCGGTTTTCTTTTCCAGGTTTGCAGAAGCAGAAGACACCAATAAGCACGGAGCCTGCTGAGAAATCTGCACATGAACCAAATAAGCAGTTAATATTTGCTGATCTCTTAGCTGCCATTAAGTTTTTTGAGCTTTTTTATCTATCCATCTTTATTTACTTTCTACTTAAGCTGAACTTTAAATGGAAGATGCAGACAAGTTTTTATTGAATTAATTTATGAATGGTTCTAAAAGAAATATATATGAATAATTTACTACTGGATAGTTGAATTTGTTCAAAGAATAAGATTTTTGGTATATTCTTGTTGCACTCTTTACTGCTAGGAATACTCTTTGCTTATGGACAGAAGCATGCCCCTAATTTAAATGGCCAAGGTCACTTTAAGCATACCCATGTTTTTCTTCCTAAGGCATAGAAGGTTCAAGGACCTTTCTGAATGGGCACATGTAAGTCTTTTTAGATGTTTCACATCCTTTAGGAAGGCCATAGTCTACGTTACTGGAATCCCATCCTCATTCTGGGAGGACAATTATCCTTGATGCCTCTACTAAATATGCCTCTACTAAATAAGGGAAAGAGGAGGGATGTTGGGCCCAGGAAAAAGTGAAGAAATCTTAAGCATGCTCAAATGAACTTGATTGTTGATTTCTTCTATTTTCTGACCAATGCAATGCCACTGATTTCATCTGGTAGACTGGTCACTGAAGTTGTTGATGTTGGAGCCCCTGCTGATTGGGTGAAGATCAATGTGCGTGAAACTGTAAGTACACCTTGTTTTTTCTTTGCCCTACTAGACACTGTCCCCACTCCCTACCCAAGTGCACACACACTGAGAGAGAGCTATGATAAAACTGGTTTTGGATATAACCAGTTTCTGAGTAACTGTTAGGATTTTCGGTTCTGAGTAGTTTCACTGTCCTTAAAATCTACAGAAGGATTGCTTTGAGGTATATGCTCTGGTCCCCGGGCTCCTGCGTGAGGAGGTATGTAGTTGTTCTGAAATCCTTTTTAAATGACCTTAAACAAATTAATAAACGGTTGGCATTGCAACCTTTAGTTTTTCGTCTAAGTATTTGTGGTTAATCAAGAAGAAAATCATATTAAAAGTACATGTGTGTCTGTTGTTTTTGTAATCATTTACTGGTGCCAGTAATTATAAAAGGTCTACTATTTTTGCCTTTTTCAGTTCTGAAGATTTGTTAGACTTGGTTGAACGATATCTTAAGATATTTTGGATTTCCACTTTCCTTCTAAGCTTTGGAGGGTAGTGAGAATTAAATAGCTATGCACTGGGGCGTGGGTCCTTAAAATGCTATTTTAGCTGCTTTACTGCTTTCCAATGCATGGAAAGCTTTTGGTCTTTTGAGTTCTGTGACTAAAAATTTCATATACATGTGATTAGAAAATATGTTTAATGTTTCTGAATGCATTTGGCTTCAGTCTCTATAAAATGTGACCCTAACCCCCTGGATTTAAAACTGGCCTCACTTTTTGGTGGATCTAGGTGCGAGTTCAATCAGATCCTGCAGGACGTTTGGTTATAACAGGTCAACCAGAGCAAGTTGACAATCCTTGGGGTATCACGCCCTTTAAGAAGGTATTTTTTTTAGTTCCGAACTGAGCAAATCAAAAAGCTTGCAGTATCTGTAGACAAGGTCCAGAAGTCCCCAAGTATATGCTTGAGAACATAGTGAGAATATAGAAAAGAGGACGCACCCTACCTTTGCTGGGCACTGATGTTCTTAGTTTTCTACTGTTTCTTTTAAGCAATAATTAGTTTATCGTATTTTAGATGAAAAAGTTAGGCTTTACTTCTTTCTAGTCTCCTCTGTGTGGGTCATGAAAAACCAAAAGTACTGCCATTACAACAGGGAACAAAGCACAAAAAAAAAATAAAATTGAGCAAAAGATTTCTTGACCTTATTTTGTTGTGGTTTACAGGTTGTGACCTTGCCTGCAAGAATTGATCCACTTCAAACATCTGCTGTTGTTAGCTTGCATGGTCGGCTCTTTGTTCGCGTTCCATTTGAGCACTGATGGCTTTGAACCTTGTCTTGTTTAGATTAGTTGGCTCAAATCAATTTTAGTGTAGGCGCTAAAATCGTTTAGGACAAGTGTAATTGGAAGTAAACATGGTACTGTTAAATTAGTTGCACATTCTGGTTCTTGGCTTATTGTTGGTCCTATCGAACTAGTTCAAAAACAATGGATGAAGAAAAGTTAGTTTTATGTGCATCTCTAAACTCTCATCAGATTGTCAAGCTGAGATTTAAACCTTACCATTAACTTTTCTGGACGGTGGCTTGATTTATTAGATTGATTTCATTTAAATCGACTGAATGGAGCTATGTTGTCCTGTTGGGCTTTCCTGATTTTCTTACTCAGGGTAATCATGGGGTGTCAAAAAGGTTCTCTCGCTATGTGTACACCATCAGTTCAGCCCTAAAGGTTAGCTTACTGGCAGAGCTAACGGTTTACTCAAATGGGTAGGAAAATTTGAAGTATATAGAGGCTAAAGTACAAGGTCCAGTCTAGTCCTTAAATGTTCTTCGATACTTACTAAAGCTGAATCGTTGGAGGCCCAACTTTGAATGGGCAAAACGTTGCCTTACTGCCTTTCGTTTAATGATGTAATTAATTGGTCAAAATTTGGTGGTATTTCTCACATCAAAATGAAGTTGGTGGAAATACAACTTTTAATTCTTAGCTGATAACTCTACTAATAAATTAAATGTGATGTAACCCATGTTATTGTTATATAGGAATGCTGTCTACCATTACTTACCCATGTTATAAAGGTTTATTCCAAGCCTGCCGTGCTCTAGAAATTTAAAGAATTTCGGAAAAGAAGGCAAAGAGTAGCAGCGGCCTGGTTGCAGAACTGGGATTATTGGGTAGACGATGGAGTAACGTATTCCTACGTCTATACTTTGCTCATTGCTTTTCCATTCTTACAGGCCTCGAGTTGAGTCCACAATTTGACCACTCTCTAGGATTTTGGTCAAAGACTTGAGAGCAAGCAGACTTTGTTAAGGGGCTAATTTTTCATACCAAATTAACGTGAGTTTTTTTTTTTAATAATTGAAAAAAGGAGATTTAAATTTTACTTTTTAAATAAGAAAATCATATATTAACAAATAAATTAAATGTTTGAACGCAAATTAACTTGTGAGGATGAGAAAAAGGCAATTAACGAGACGAGCCTCCCTCCCTCTCGGGAAACCAACTGCAGCATCTGTGTGCTATTATGAAAGCAATTGATCAAATAATTAATGTCTCCTGTTTCTTGTTTGTTGTTCCATGATGAGTCTCTCCCCATCGCTACCAAATGGATCGAAACACTTTTTAACTACAAACTGACCAATTGCCAACCAAGTCCCCTCCCCTGGGGGAATATTTCATCGCAATTTAATCTAACAAAACTCCTCTAATTGGTTAAGAAGGAATTACGATATTTACATGCATGATGCATGCTTTTATTTGATTCACTTAAGTTTCTTACAGAAGAAAGTGAGTGCATGCAATGCAAGGCCATTAATGAGAGCGAATACTAAACCTGCAAATGCAATTGGAGCAATTAATGAGTGCTTTAAGAAATATTAGTAGCATCATTAAGCAACTTCGAAAACTCGATTTTCACATACATTCTCTCTGGCTGCTAATTAATTGCTATTATATATCAAGCTTATATTTGAACTAACTGCACAACTAGACTTGTGTTAGCTCAGCAACCTCAGACTAATACCAACAACTGCGCTTTCAGTATATGGTGAAAGATTATGTTATTTGCAGTGGTAAAGGAGACCAACAAAGGATTAGCTCCTAACAACTGCTGCAGTATATATATATATATGTATTTATTTATGATCACCTTCAAAGTAAAGTATAAATAAAGCACAAATTGCCTTAAACTATATATTACTAGGAAAGCAGAAATGTTTCTACTTCTAGGAGCGTGGGACTTGCACATGATAATGTACACACACAAATCATCTTTTCCGCAGCAAAGAAATTGATCAGTTGCCTCTACACAATATTATATATGTAACCTAAAACAAGAAGCAATTTCTTAATTAAGTTGCCAGAAAACGTGTCTTTCCCTCTTTTTCAAGTTGATTTCAAATAAACAAAATGTCCCGAACTCCAACAATTCTTTCTTTTTTATTTACCAATTTTCACTCCCTAAAACAGATGGTTCGGTTCCAATTCTCAAAGCTCAGAAGATTTGAGACAAATGTTCCTAATTAATTAATGTCTAATACAGTAACTGACAAAAGTCTTTGCACCTGAATATATGTATAATATTCATGGATGTTACATAACTGAAACAAGACAAACTTTCTTTCAGTGTGTTTCTACTGCTGTAACGCCTGGTCAGGTAAAACTGTTAATCAAATAGAAGCCGGAACTGGAAGAGAAATTAAGCCAAAAAAATAAAGAAAATCCTTAGACATCCTTTACTTGTTGAGGTTCAGAACTAGGGTTTTTTCTCGTGAGAGTTTTGACTTAGCTTTTTTCTCTGCTGGGTCAGCAAGCAGGAAATCAATGAGGGAAAGCAGCAAAAATAAGACAAACAAGACACAGCCACATGCAGACGAATAAAACAACATCAGAAGATAGTTTTGAGCTCAAAGGAGCCTAAAAGCAAAAGATAGAATAGTATTATGCGTATACAAAGCATAAAATAATTAGGTATTTAATAATTTATATAATTAGATCGGCATGAAGGATTGATCGTCACCTGTACATACATATAGTTCTGGTAATTAATTAAGAAATCACAAGCTCCAAACACAAGATAAAGTGCTGCATAAAATATAGTAACACAAATTAATATTACAGTTCTCTAGAATCCCACAGCATCTCACTCCCCATGGCATTGGCAGCATTAGAAATCAATTAATCATGGGTAAATAAAACCATGTTATATATGTATGTAAGAGGGAACAGAAGGGAAAATATGGAAAAGAAAAAAGGGCAGGAGCCCGAATATATGGTTTTTGAGCCCACTGACCTCAAGATCGATGGCTCTATTGCTCCAAGCTGGGTTTGGTGTTCATCAGTTTCAACAAAGCCCCAAGCATGCATCACAGTTTGAACCCCTTTCATGTCCACTTCTGATCAATTTAGTGCTAATGATTGATGAGAGGACTAACTTTGTCTTTTCCTTCTGCCTCTCTCTCTCCCTGTATATATGTATATATGTATATATATAAGTGTTCATATATATGATCAGGACAATTGTTGTAGCTGCCAACTCTTTACATCTCTTCCTGTCATCATCTCCTCCTCGTAAATTATTCAAAGAAAGCATAGAATAAAAGAAAATCTCTTGAGAGTGAGGGGGAAATAGCATTCAAAATCTCTCAATACCCCAAGCCTTGGCTTTAAATCGGTAATCACCAAGCTAGCTAGAATGGAGGCCTAGCAGTTGTTCCACTACCCCACCCAAACAAGTCACCTGAAAAAGGGTAATTCGCCCCACTCCCTCCCATGATGAAAAGGGATCCGGCAGTACCACTAGCAGCAGCACTGCTGGTTCCTCCGCCATCAGGGAGCTGTCCACTTCCAGTCACTCCTGAAGACTGAGACGCCGTGGGCTGAACCTGCACCGTCCCCTCCTCCTCCTCATCTGGAGGTAACCTCTCAAACACTGCATTGGCAAATGATGCAGCCATCAAAACAACAGGACCTGAAGCCACAAGCGGGCCTACCACGCTGCCCCCAACCACCTGTCCTTGTCCACCTGACAAAAAGATTGATAGTCCGCCGATACCAGGAGGCGCCGGAGGAGGGAGCACTTTCCCAGAGAGCGAAAGTATCTCAAACCTACCATGTAAAGTGAGTACACTTGCTGGAGGAGAAGCAGGTTGTCGCAAACTAACATTAGCAACTGTCCCACATCCGCTGAGAACGCAGATTCCTCTTCCTCTTCTTCTAGCATAATTGGAGACGCTGTCCATGATGTCGGCGCCAGACGAGATTTCCAGAACATGGGATCGAAGGGCATTAGGGGAGTCTCTAGTTACTATGATAGGAGGTTTGGGTTTGTTTTTGGAGCCAGCAGGGCGGCCGCGGGGGCGGCGTGTGGGGCCTCCAGAGCTGGTAGCGGCCGCAGCATCAGACAAATCCGGCTTATTTGGATCCTTGTCTTGTGAGTCTCTGGAATCATCAGAGGGTGGGGTTAGAGATGGTATTTGGAGATGCAGTTCTGGTCTAAAGAGTTGCTGGCCATAGCGGGAGCCTGGGCCTGCTGCTTCATACCCCGCCATCGCAACCACATCTAATCTCTCCCACCACTTATTTGCCAGCTTTCTGTTTTGCTGTGGCTCCGTAGCTGCCTGCCCGTTGATCCTTATGATAATTTCTCAAGCGAGTACCACACAACTGAACCAATATATATAATTAAGCAGCTAGCTCTCCTCGTTTAACTTAATTTGCTCAAAAAAAGAAATCTTCGATCTTTCACCTTTGTAAAAGAAGTAGGAAAGAGTAAAAATCTTTATTTCGCCGGTTAAGTTTGAGAAAATTCAACTTTCAAGAACTGTGTAGATCCGAAGTCAAGAATCCGAAATCCAGGAGCTAATTGGGGAAGTGAGCAGTTACTGCAGATTATCGAATATCGACCAGACCAGACTACCTTAATTTGAATGCTTCTCTGCACGCCTTCCTGTACTAAACAACAAAAGAAGACACCGCAATTGCGTAAACTCGAGACCCCGAGAGAACCCCTCAAGTCAAATTAAGCTCTCCAATTTCTTCACCTGCTGGCTTCTGCAAGAGCTCCTTCTAGTGGGTAGTAAATTTTATCAGCTGAGTACCCCAAAAGAAACATCACAACTTCATCTCCTACTACTATATCCAAGCTTACAATTTTTTACTCCTCTGTAGGAAAGTTGATCTCTTAAACAAATTAAGAATTGGTTTTTGCCTTAAAATATTATCCAGAAAAGAGGAAATTTGGCTTCCGAAAGAAAGGAACCTACAAGACACAGAGATCAGCTACGACGACTTTAGAAACTACTTTAGAAAACGAAGAGAAGAGAAGAGGAGACGAGCCAGGAGACACTTATCATTGAAATCAATTCTCAGGTATTTAGCTCGCACTGTTAAAAGTTGTTGAGCTAAAAGCTTTCAAGACAAGAGAAGAGAAGAAAGAAACACGAGATTCCTCCACGCGCTTCAATGTCTAAATTAGAGAGCTTTGCAATGGCAGACAAAGAAATGAGTTTTGAGGAGAAAAAACAACTATGGTGGAAAAGCGTAGAGCAAAAAGCAGCATCCAAAGCAAATACCATTACCAATACAATACATACATTACTACATACATAAGCAGCGAGCCCATTTGACCCCAGCAGATATCTGATCTTCCATCGTATGTACAGCTAGCACATGCTAATCAGTTTTCATCTCATTCCACTCTCACCTCTGGCGCGTACATTGTCACCAACAAAGTAGCAGTATCTATATATCAGCATGCTAGTCTAGTAAAATTTCGTTGATTGATTTCGAATCCCTAGTTTAATTTATCACAAGACACACATTCTTTCCACAACTTTTCACTCATCATATGATTAAACGCATGATTATTTTATCAATTTTTAGAATAAATTAGAAACAAAAATCAAAAGACACTTACCTACTATCAGTTTAATCAAAAGGCCTCTTTCGTTGGTGGGGAAAAGTATCAAACAGCTTCTTTCGGCCGCCCAATTTGAACTTGTACCCAATAGAGTCGCCATTGACATTGTAGATTGGGAGCTTTTGGTTGTTTTGTAGATTCCGTCTCCTAATTGAATTTATGATCAAAGCTGAAAGAAAGGGTATTTGAATTATATTTTTTAAATAAAAAATTATATATCAATTAATAAATCAAATACTTAAATATTAATTATAAATTAAAATTTAATTGTTTAAGATTTATTGAATTAGATAACAAATCTAATTCAACAGATGATATTCAATAAAACATTATATATATATATATGTGTGTGTATGATGCCGACTATAATAAGTGGACGGATGTGTATAATGGGGAATATGAAACACGTCAATGATGTCATGGTATAAATCTAACTCAACAGATGATATTCAATAAAACATTATATATATATATATATGTATGTGTGTGTATGATGCCGACTATAATAAGTGGGCGGACGTGTGTGTAATGGGGAATATGAAACATGTCAATGGTGTCATGGTATAAATCTTTGTAAATTAATTATGGAGTTGGCCGGTTGGGGTTGCGTATGTAGTTCATCATTTTTAAAAAAAGAGTTACTATTAAAGATTGCCATATATATTATTGGATGGAGGGATAGTGAATATTCCTTGATATTGTATCATTGGAACCATGGATATGTGAAGTTGAATGCATGTTTCATGTTTGCCAATGGTAAAAGTAAAACTGTTTGGCACCATTTTGCTGTTGTAGAATTCTTTTATATATATATATATATATATATATATATTCTCAATCAATTATAAGAATTTTATTAATAGTCATTTAAAGACAGTATATGGAAGACTTGTAAGATCTCATAGATAGAGGAAAGTGCCTCCAAAATCAATTGGAGTGCCATACACTCTTACATAAGATTTCGTTTTAATTCACTAATGCCTATACGTAAAAGAAACATAAAGACACATAGCATCATCACAGATAAAGACTACCATACATCAAAAGACAAAGACTCAAGCAAAGCAGTGCACACATATCACCATCAGGCTGAAAATATAAATGCCTTATTCACACCAAATTTTGTTAAATGATCTATGAAGAAGTTAGTCTTTCTCAAGGTATGCACAAATGTGACCAACAATCATCTACTTTAAAACATCAATCTCATTGAAAATAAACTATTTATTCTATGACTTCTGATCTATATTGTTCAGTCAAGATAAAGCCATCATAGAGTCAGATTTAATAATTAAATTAGCTTCTATAAAAGAGAAGATCAAAAAAATCTAAGAACATGCAAGATTACCGTAATCTGTGCATAGTTTGAATCATGAATGCTTAAAGACCCACAAAATACCTCAACTATATATCCATAAAATTTTATATATTAATATTTGTTTATTCTCAGAATCATAAATTTAAAGAAAATATTAATAGTCATCAGTGTAATGATTTAATCATTGAATCAACTATTGAATCACATATTTAATTTTTTGTTTGCACATTAACTAGTACATTTCCATACATACATAGATACTCTTGAAATAGAACTATGAGGAACGTGCATGCATGTGGGCATTTTACATATCATCTCAAACATATACAACGGCACACGTGGGATAAGACCCTAAACTTTAAAGATGATGAATATGATGGTGGTTTCATCTTCAGTCGGAGGGGGATGGAAATGCGTACGTTGATGATCAGTAGGACCAGGCCTCAATTTGCTTTCTCGAGTGTGCTGGTGTCATGGGGCAGGGGTTCACACGTGCGTAGCACGAGGAAGACTCTTAGACAGAGGAGAGTCACGTGCGGTCAATAGGTCAGACCTGAAGTTGAGGTGTCAGAACCACGTGGAAGGTGTCGGGATATCGGTACTTGGTCAACCTTATCTTATCTAATCTATGTGTCTGTCTGTAACTCTGCGTGTGTAATTTTATGCAGTTAGATGGTACTAGATGTGTATGTCAAATGCAATGTAATGCATCTCTTTCACTGACAGTGACAGCCAGTGATCCACGCCGGATTTGTTATGGCGGCATCTCTGTCCTAGTTTCCACCAGCCACCACCAGTTTTGCTGATGTTTTGTACTAGCACTAATTATAAAGAGAATCGTCTTGTCTGTCCCCAGTTAGTCCCCAGCCACATTTGATGAATACCGAATACTAGCTAGAGTCCTATGCCATGGCTTTGTTGACACGCCAATTGCCCCCCACAAATTAAAGGCTTATAGATTTACATCAATTATCAACCTCACTTCCCACTAATTACTGTTATTTTCAGTATTATTTTCCTGACCTGGCGCCGGCTCTTGATTAAAATTCTAACGGTGCACATCAATTATTTTACTGGCGAGGTACTGATCATCTGTAGTCTGAAGGGATTGATCAAATTTCCTTGGGCGCCCATTGATAAGTGATAAGGTGAGGAATGAGGAGGGAAAGGTTGGGGCCACCTAGTCAGCATCAAATAATGATGTAATTACGTAAATGTATAGGCCATATACAAATAAATGGGGGCCCGCACAAGTGGGATTTGGAATGGAATGGTGTGATGATGATGATGAGGTGCACTGCTTTGAATGCCTCCGGACCCTGACCATCTCGTCCGGTTTCACCCCGCACAATCCTTCTAATCCCCACTAATTGTATTGTTCGTACTATTGTATTTATTCTAGTAGTACTGTTAGTACTTTGCTACTAGCAGACACTAGCTAGAAGTTCGTTGTAGTATTCATGTCCCCGTACCTGTGCCTCTTCTCAAAATTAATAGCTTATTTCACTGCAAGCCTTTCACCATCTCTATCAGATGAATTGGCGCTTGCACGCATAGGTGCAGACTCCAGACTGCAGAGTGCAGACTGCATATTGCAGACACCGCCATGCACAAGTAAATAAATAAATGGTGGGAAAAACCATAGCATGCATGTTCTGTCTGGCTAGGTATACATATATGCGCAGAAAGCCTTCTGTAAATTATTTGATGGCTAGATTTTGGGGTTAATTATCAGATAATTGCATATTCACAACTTTGGGGTTATTAAATATTAAAGATATCTTTCAATGACTAGTTCAGGTGAGGTTGACAATACATAGATTACATAGTTCATTCATTCATCAAATTTTAATCTATATATATTATCTGTTTATTAAATAGTTAATTCAAGGGTTGTGAAGTTTCTAGCCAATCACATTGAATAAACTTAATATAAAGGATCATATTTTAAGAGGTTAACTTCCGTCTGGAATTAAAAAAAAAAAACAAATCAAACTTTTAAACGGCAAGTATCAAGAATATATATATATATATATATATATATAAATATTCTGTGGGAATCGCTCGACATTTTAACATTAGCATCTCATTTTGAGTAACATACTGCTTTTCAGTTATTTAGTTGTGACTCGTGACTTGTGAGCGAGCCACTTGCCACAGAGAGAAAGAAATTTTGTCTAAAAAGGTCAAGCTTGTTAGGTTAGTTTTGCTGATATCAAACCAGATTAATGGAGTAAAATATTTAATTATCTGGTATAGTACTGTATCAGAAGAAGACCCATATGCCTTGTGGGCAGCTACAATCATTTAACAGCAGCGGCAATAAAACATTTATTTTATTACTATATATTTTTATTATTTTTAAAACAGACAAACTACGTTGTCTTGTCCCACTACGTTCTTGCAACTTTAGAGTTCAAGAGTTTCCTTCTTGTGTTAACGTCTTAAGACTAATTGGGACATTGAAGAGGATGGGAAGGTTTCTTTGTTTGGGTTAGAAGCCAGGCCAAAATGCCCACCAAGCACAAGTGGTCTTGGTTAATTTGCACTAGTTAGCACCACAGGCTGAGTTGTAGGAAGCTCCGGTCTCCGGTACTGAGTTATACTTTGTGATTGTACAAAGAATGCTGCATGCAGACGACGTTGTAGCTAGGTAGCCAGGGAGTAGGAAATTAGTACAAATTAAGAATACTAGTATTTGGAGAATTTCCCCATAGTATAATCATGGATACGTCATATTAATAATAAATTCAGGGAATCCATATGTTTGCGATGCTAAATGAAAATATAAGATGCTAGTTCAACTTCGTAATCAATTCCATTATCTTTAATTAAATAATCCATCTTTATTATGCATCCAGCAGGGATAAAGATGATGCATGCTGCCATATAGGAACCTACTCACGAGTTGTGTAATATTTTATTTAAAAGAAAAGCAGCACAGGCCAGGGCCCGGGGACTTTAATTTGCTGGTCCAAAGCGGTTTGAATTAAACGAATGCCCAAAATGTCGACGCTTTTAAATATTGGAGGGCCAGTAGGCTGTAGCTAAGGTTTAATAATTAAGCGATGCACTTTGATCAAAACAAAATTAACACCAAAGAGCAGCCGGATGCCTCATGGCCTAATTAACGATTAGGGGTCATGGTTAGAGCAAAAGCAAGCAGAGGCCCTCCTCTCTCAGTGGACAGCGCTGATGGCCAAAATGGGCCCCATCTGTTCTCTTCTAACACATCCTTAATTATCTTTTAATTCCATATAGCAATCAGGTGGCCACAACATCCCTTCATTTCCTTGGGGTTTATAATCAATAGGTTGAATAGAATCGAAACCTACCTGCCAGGCGCCACCCACCCATATCATTGGTTTAAATAATTGGTTTTGTTTGTGTTGAAGGGTAGAAATGCAGATGGTGACTAATTAATTTGATTTGATTTGATGTGAACGCATATGGTGGTGGTTGTAGTTTCAGTGAGTATAGTAATACTAATTATCTCCTACTAGCTAGCAGTAGCAGGGTTGGGAGTTGGGACCAACGCAAGACAAGGAGAGACGAAACCCTGATTATTGATCAGTTCTCAAGTCCATATAGTTCAAAATCCGTTCGGACATCATTCATTTGGTGGAGGGCGAGACAACACTTGTGCCCACGTAATTGAGAATTGAGGAAGAAAGTAAGCAAAAGTAAACAATCAAATAGTCAATATCGAATGTCATTTTTCAATCTTCAGTGTTGTAGGATTATTAGACGAAAGTTATGGTTTCGCTTTAGCTTTGGCAAACGACTGATGTGGAACTACGCGACGCAGGTGAC